ACTCAGTAGGAATTTAATAAATGCTTGCTGACTGACCTATCTAATAGGAGAATAAAATAGAATAAGATGGACACTAACAGGAGGACAAGATGGAGTGGAAGAATCTTGATTTTGGCAGAGTCCAAAATCTTTAAAGATTTGAGTTTATATCGTAGAATATTTGAACTGAAAAGAGGTTTAGCAATAGTGTCATTTATCTTCATTTTACAGAGGAGAAACTTGAGGCCCAGAGAACTCAAATGACTCACTCAAGATCCCAAAGCTAAATACTGGGAATATTTTTTTACTTGTCTGGCAGATGGGAGCCAGACCCTGGAGTCAGGTTGCTTGGTTTCAAATTATGGCTGCCATTTATTAGCTCTGTAACTTCTGAGCATGCTATTTAATCTAACCTTAGTTTCTCCATCTATAATGCAGAATAATAATCTGATATCCTTAAATCTAGGATTAAATGAGCTAGTGTATAAAACACTTGATAAACATACCTCATACATAGGATTTGTTCAATAAATGTTACTATTTATTTTCATTGTATTATACATTTTAATATCCAGTCTGGCCTTGTAATCCCAAGAACATGGGCTTTCAAATGTGAACTCAAACTTTAAAAAAAATCTGGATAGGCTTGCTTTGTTGTGGCTTAGGGTACAAATGGTGTAATATTGTAACCCAGTACCTAAAAGTGAGACCTGGTTGATTACTCATATAAGAAAAAATATATATTTATATCTTTATTTAACTGCAGATATCTGTTCCTGCCTTTAAATGATACTGACCTATTTGCTCTATTTGCAAAGGAATTTTATTATAACCTCAGAGAATTTCCTGACATCAACAAGAGTATGTTTAGGCTATTTTACAAAGCTATTGCAAGATCCTCAGTGGGGGGAAAACAGTTTGCAATGTTCTCTATTCTGAAGCAGGAAAGTCATTGGTGTTCTGTAAAGCAGCAGGATAGTATTGTCGGAGCGACTGTGCTTGGAAATATTTTCATAGCCATCTTTTCAGGTTGGTTGACTCATAAGTATTGACTCAGTTAGGAGGACTGCTTATTAGTGAAATCAAGCCTCATCATCCAGGCTCTTGCCTTTGTCCTGTTGCTTATCATCAATTATTAAACTAATGTTCCCTTTGAGCATAGCTACCTGTTTATCTAGAAATTAACTTAAAACTTAATTTGGAGCCTTGAAATAATAACATTCTTAGAGAAATTTAAGAGACAAAAAGTTCATTTCTTCATAATGCAAAATCTTAGAATAATGTACTACAACCTGGCTGCTCAGAGTGCTGTCAGTTGGAAACACTTAGTAACTGGCATCACTCAGAAGATGCAGAAGATCCTGTGTTTTGGGGCTCCTGGGTGGCTCAGTTGGTTAAGTGACTGCCTTCGGCTCAGGTCATGATCCTGGAGTCCCTGGATCGAGTCCCTGGATCGAGTCCCTGGATCGAGTCCCTGGATCGAGTCCCTGGATCGAGTCCCGCATCGGGCTCCCTGCCCGGCAGGGAGTCTGCTTCTCCCTCTGACCCTCCCCCCTCTCATGTGCTCTCTCTCATTCTCTCTCTCAAATAAATAAATAAAATCTTTAAAAAAAAAAAAAAAAGAAGACACAACTAGTTGTTGGAATCTGAAATGCAAGAATTCAGCCACTTGTTTGCAGGTAGTTAATACCATGCTTCCCCAGTCTTCTGCTCAAAGAGAAGACCTGCTTACTACTATCTGTGTTTTACTCAGTTTATATTAACAGATGTTAGTGGTTACTTTCAGGTAATTTATGGGGGCTGTTGTCTTCTTTTTGCCCCAGCTGCCTTCTGTTCAGCTTTTGTCTAGAGAGAGAGACAGTAGATAATTAGCTTGGCAGGAACTAAGGGAAGGTTTGAAGGGCTTAATATAGCAATAAATGGAAATCACGGTAGCTTTTTAAAGATAACTGTTGAGAAAATAACAGGATATAATCACTATCACCTGCATAATATATCCCATAATGCCAGAGGAAAAATCCTTCCTAATTCAATCAATAATATTAATTCCTGAAAAGAAATGCCTTGCTCCTAAGTATAGTTTTTTCTGCATCAGAATTATTCCTCAGAGGAATATTGCTCAGAATTCACTGCTCAGAATCAACAATTCTTGATTATATAGGTTCTTGACTATAAAAGCTCTCTTTCATTTTCTTAATTTGGGAAAAACATTCTATATCCTGAAGAACATGAATCAGAAAATACTCGATGTTATGTGATGTTATGTTAGTCTTTAAAACAGATATGCTATAAACCAATGTGGAATTATATTTTACTTAGGGTAGCATAAGAAAAGAACAAAAATTAACAGAGCCTAGTTCTCAAACCCATTAATGTAATATACAATCATCATGACATTTTTCCCAGCCATAGAATGGGTGGGTAATAATGGTAATGAATAAAAATATAAAAATGAACAGTGTTTTAGTAGTGGATTTTAGTAGGAATTTTCTTTAGAATTATTTTTTATTATATTCCTTGCCCATTCTTATTTTTTTCAATTTTGGTAAAAATTTCCTCTTAAATAACCTCAAAATTTACTGCCTATCAGGGTACTGAAACATGCTTAATATAAAAATCAATGAGTCTTATTTCCCATTGATATTTCAGCCCTATTTATATTATCTAAAATTCAAAGCATATTGTAGACAATGCTCTTAACTAGGGCTAACTACTGAGGTTGTGTTATAGCCCTCGATCTTGAAATTCCTCTTTGTTTCCCTTTTTCTTGGACTTATTTCCAATCTATTTATCTCAATGCTTTGTCATAGGTGAGAAAGATATAACAGACCTTGGATCTCATTGGTAACTCTTATTAAAACAAGGAACAGTAAGTAAATCAAGGTTTATTATTTTTCACTGTTTAGTGGTTCTATTTTCCCATCATGTTTCTAACACCACTGTGGAAAGGTAATTGGTATTTTAGTACAATACATTTTTCAAAGGCTTATCTGTTGGGGGAATATTTTTTAAAAATCAAGCGCATATATCCATGGTGCAGTAAGTAAACAGGCTGTATTATTCCATCATTCGGAGCCCTTTCCAGTGGTACTGCAATTAAATTCAATCCTTTTTGTCTGGGCTATGTATGAATTCAGTTCAACAACTGGTTGCACAGAGCTTTTTTGTTGTTATGGTGGTTGTTTTGGTTAATAGCAACTTCCCTATTCAATTCGGTTTCTCATTGTAACTCAGAAGTTGTTTGTAAATATAGTCAACAGAATTATGCATTTTTAAAAATTCTGAAAAGCATCGTACCCTATACAGAAAATGGACACTGGCAAACCACTGTTTGACTTTTGAGCTGTCTGAATCTTCTCCCATTTTATAAATGATCTTTGTGGGTACTTACAAGGTGCCATAATAAATGACTGAAAAGGAAAATATTATCATCATTTATCTATATGATACAGACTACTTTTTAATTCATTATCTAATTTGTCCAGTTGCAATGACATGGAGGAGGTATTATTTGTGTATGTGCACATGTTGTTACATTCCCCAGTGTTTGTAAGTAGTGGGTTTCGGGTTGCTTTGTGGTAGTGAGATGTATATGAACAGAATATTATAAATAAGTCAGTCTGTTGAAAATCCTTCTCAAGTCAGAAAATATTCACTGTACATTCATTTTTTTAAAAAAATTATTTTTCTTTTCCCAATACAACCATCAGTGACATTATTTTAAATAAGCTACTTAAAGCAAGGAAAGTTACAGCTATAAAATATATAAATTTAATCGACTTTTTCTTCTAATCCTATTCAATAGATTATAAACATATTTATTTTTTTCCCTGACATAACCGAAAAAAAGAAAGAATTCTTAAACCTTAGCGGGTTAAAATAAAACGGCACACTAGTAAGGAACTGAAATGAAATGACAATTCAGTAACCTTTACAGCTATAGAGTGACAAAATCCCAGACGGTTTTAGTCTTTAAATTATTCGGGCTGTCTAAATTTCTGCTGCCACAATATTTTTTTTCGCAAATGGAACAAAAATGGCATTTTGCTCACGTAGATCTAGCTGTTCTCTGGGTGGTTGGTTCTAGAAAAGCAACAGGCTTTTCCCCTGCCTTACAAGAAGCAACAGTTAGAAACTCTAACAACTAGAAAACTGCTACCCCACAGTGGTTGGAAACAGCCAATAGAGAAGATGACAGCTGCTGTGTAACAGCTTCAGAAAGGGAGAAGGAAAAAAGGAAATAAAAGAATGTTAACCTTTTGAAAGGATTGCCTTAGGTTACTACCGCACCCCACCCCCTCCGCCGTCCCTTTACTTATCAGGCTTTTCTGCCATGCTTAGGTTTCTAGGGTAAAGCAAAGCAATAACTCCGACCCATTCTATTTCAACTTAAATTTGCAAGCGCTAGAAGACAAATTCATCAACTCCCACATGGGAACAATACAAGCCTCCCCAGAAGCGGACTTGAGCACTTCCGTATTAGCCAGCATGAACTGTTGTCTCAGCCTGTTGCTCCCGCCACAAGGTGTGTTAGAGCCTGGAAAGAAGGAGGGCACGCTCTGAAACCGTGTCTGTGTGCTTGGGCGCCTGGTGGCGGGACCTGGGCTGGCTCTCGGGTTCAGCGACCACTCCGGGTTAGGCGGCTACGGACCACGGTCCGGGGACCCTAGTGCAGGCCGCCCGGCCGCCGGCAGATGGTGCCCTCCGCATCGGAACACCAAAGGAAACCCTGCTAAAGTATCGCTCAGACTCCGCCCCACCCGATCCTCCGGCGCCACAGTCACCGTCCTTCCCCAAATAGTGCCGAGCACGTTTCCTCTGGAACACTGCAGTAGCCTGTGTGTGTGTTGAAAATACAAACCAGGGGCAACAGGGGCGGGGTGTGTTAGTGTGGGGAACACTCGGAATGGGACTCCCGGGGCCGGGGCGAAGTGACCGCCAATGAAACGCAGAGGGCGAGGGGACCCGTCCATTTCACATCTGCGTAAGCCCGGCCGCGGGCCCGTCGGGAGGCCACTCACCATGTTCACTTCGGAGACCATGTCTATGCTGGCGACATCGATCCGCATCCCTACGTCCACAGGGGGCCCTGCGGGAAGGTGGGACACATTATGGACATATCCTTAGAGTGGCGACAGGATGGGGAGAGCCAGGGGGCTTCCCTGCGCTTACTACATTTTGAATGGGCTCCCTCCATCCCCCACTCCCCCTTGCAAGGGACAGCCTAGGAAAACAGGTGTGGGCACACGCGTGATGCAGTGACTGTGCAGAGGGTGTGTCGGGCGGGGGGAAGGTCGGCTCTGCCTGGGGTTTCATCCACCTGCGACTGAGGGTCCGGTGTGTGTGTGTGTGTGTGTGTGTGTGTGTGTGTGTGTGTCCAGGGCGTAGGGCGTAGCGCACACTTGCGGAAATGACATGCTTTTTTTTTTTTTTTTTTGACATTTATCTTTGACAGGAAAGGAGACCTAGATATGTATGGGTTACAGGTTGAAAAAAGATGAAGCATTACCTCCAAAGTCCGGCCGCAAGCGAATGTCATATCCTTTGAGCAATCTGTCCACTGTCTCTTTCACGTATGACATGTTGCTGGGCTCATTGGCGCTGAGGGGAAGAAGTAGGGACCGTATTCAAAATGAACACAAACTGCGAGCAGACATAAATATAGACAAGCACACCTTACCCCCAAATAACAAGCTACATGATCCAGCAAGCATGTAAAAAGAAAAACACCAAGAAAAAAAGAGACGTTCAACAACTGCAGCTCACCTGTGTGCACAACAGACCATGGCAATCATCACAGGGAAAGAGAGAAGCCCCAAACTCTCTCGATTTTGTACTGTCCACATTACTAACTCTGATTAAAGAATTGTCTTTCCTGCGAAGATTCAAGGAATGCAACTTAGTCGGCGGCAGGGCAGTAATTCCCGAAAGGACCTGCGCATGCGCAGAGGGTGCTCACTACCAAAAGACACCTTGTGCCTTGCAAACAATATTCCTAGTGGAACAGGCAACAGATTTCATTCCCTTTAAAGTTCCTGTTTGTAGTGTTCCACGTCCTCCGAGTAGTCGGAGATATCCTGCTCTTTCCTTGCTCGGGATCCTGTATGCATTTGCATACTGAGATTTCTTTGGGCGTTAGAGGTTGCTATGTTCATTTCCTCTCTGTCCTCAACCTTTTTTTTTTACTCAACTCCCAGGGATCTGGCTAAGGCTGCCTGTGATTGGCATCCTTCGTTGGCAGTCACGGTGGTCCTAGAACTGAGAGTGTGGAGGCGGGGCGGTTCTCTGGTCTCCAGGGTGTGCCTGTGTTCGTGTGATGGGGGGACGGGGTGGGGGGTAGTGAATGGAGAAGGAGAGCCAGAGAAGAAGGGAAGGGGCAGAGGACATTCAGCACGTATTTGAGGACTCCAAGAATCAGGTCCCCTTAGGAAGCATCCTAGGACATCTGCCTTAGTGTAGTCCTTCTCTGTAGGAGGGGGAGGAAGAGAGGCGAGCCAACTTTTTCACTCGCTCCCCCACTTTTCTTCCCTCCCCCTCTCTTGTCTCTCCAGGCACGAGATTTAAGGGAAACAAGCGATGAGGCAGCATCTCTGGGCTGGCAACCCTTTTTCTAGTGCCATCTGCCGCAAGTCCCACTTTTTTCTAGGTTCTTGTAAGGAAAACCTCTTTCTTAAAATTGCCCATGTATTAACTCGCATTAGTAGCCCGGAGCAGACCCGTGAAACACCCAGAGGGTCTTATCTCTGTTCGCAAATAGGTTGGGGTTCTGTAGGAGCAGGAGTTGTTTAAATTATATTAAATTCAATCAGTGCAATTCAGTAAATGTCATTGAGCACATGTTAGGCGGGAGGCTCTGGCTAGGAGTTTGTTCATTTGTTTAATGATATATATTAAATATTTACTATGTTCTAAATGTTCTGGAACTTAGAGACGATTTAAAGAGGGTTCCCGACATAGAGAAATTCACAGGCTCCCCGTCAGGAAGACGGACACAAATATAAGGAAGTTCAGTATGCTCTAGATAGTTTATATAGTGACCGGAAGCCTGTTAATACTACAAAGAGAGGTAGATAATGGTGTCCAGACAAGGAGAAAGCTTTCTGTAAGAGCGGGGAGGGCAGAGTATGCCAGAAGGAGGGAACAGCCTGTGCCAAGTCTTGGAGACTTGAAAGGCTATGGTCTACTCGGATAGCTGAACCCAGAAATAGCTGATCCGAATATAAAAGGGGAGAGGTAGGGATAGTGGTGATGAGGGTGCCAAGAGAAGCTGAGGCCAGACCATAGGGAAAGTTACATCCTTTACTATGCCAATTTACGCTTCTAGAAATCACTGGAAGTTTTAAGTAGGGATAGTCAGGGTCAGATGGCAGTTTCAGACACAATGTTCTGGTAGAATTATCATGATCAGAATAATTAGAGTTTATCACTTGCTGACTATTTGCTGGTTATTGTGCACATTATATAGAAAATCTTATTTAAGCCTTCATAATAATCAAAATGTGGTAGACATTATTATTATTATTCTCTTTTTATAGATAGTGATACTGAGAACAAATCAGGGTAATGTAACTGGTTCAATATCAAACAGCTAATAAGTCATGGAATGGACATTCCAACCCAGAATCCATGGACCTGACTACTCTATGCTATGAAGTATGGACCCCAAAAGGAGAAACCATAGACAGGGAAAACAATGAAAAGTGAGAAGGGTTATTACAATGCCCCAGGCAAAAGGAACTGAAGTCAGATAGTGTTTAGCATGGAGAGGAGGTGATAGACCAGTGCAAGTTTTCAGAAGTATAATGGAGACATCAAATAGCTGGAAAGGTCAGCACGTGAAGACTTTTGGAAGGTAACCAAAGAATTTGTACAAACATTTACACATGTGTAGATCTTGACATTCTACATATATTAACTTTATTTTCTCATTTGAGCCTCATAACAACCTTAAACACTGAGGCTATTTTTTTCTGGGGACAATGATAACTCTTAATCAGGTTTCTTAATTTTCTGAAAAGTGTGTCAAGTCTACCTCTTTTTATTAATTCATATGGATTTGCTTTTAATGAGTAAAAGAAAAGATTTACTTATGCTTCACGTCCTTGCTGAAGCATAGAACCTCTCTATGTGGCACAACTCTGCAAACGTTGCATTGTAGAAAACAAAATTTGCGGAAGTTTACTTCCTTCATTTGTTCATTCATTTATTTCTCAAATACTTATTGAACATTTGGTAGGTGACAGCCACTATGCTAAAACCTGGTGACCCAACAATGAAAAAGATAGCATACAGAGTCCCTTTCCACATGAAATTTGTCAACTGACCCATCTTTGGGAGGTTGCAAATAGTAGCCTTGCTAGCCAGATTCAATTCATAAAAGAAGTATTTAGTTAGGTATTCACTGCTTGTTCAACTTATGTAGCTTTCATTGGGATATACGTTTTCCAGTTGGTCATAAGCCCCCCAAATTCCTTTTGAATAACAACCAGGATTGTATTTATTAGTGTCTATAAAAGAGCCAAGATTTTATCCTAGAATTGAGGAAAACTGTGAGTGATTTCAAATTCTTGAATCCTAATGTTTAGTATGCTGCAATTTGGATCAATTTCACTAAATTTGGCTTTTAAACTATGCCTCCTTTTACGTAGAAGGACACTACAAGAAGTCATTAGATATTTATAATATTGTCTAATACTGGGATGCTATTGAGGACCGAGCCCCCTGTATCACTCACTATCTTATGTATGAGGACCTGTGGGAGAAAAATTTTCCCAGACCCTAGTCTGGGAAAGGCGGTTGGAATCCTCAAATTCATTAATTTCCTTATTTGCTTTGGCTACTGGGAATCTCAGAGTTGTAGGGACAGTTCAGCTTTAATCATTATGTAAGGTCTTAATGACCTGCATTTTGTTATGTTACATTTCTCCCTGCTGCTCTCGAATCCTAAATTTAATTTTCCTTTGTCACACTTTACTAACTTACAAACAGATATGTTGCACTGAATATATATAGTGTGTAAGCTGTCTTGAATAATTTTTAGAACTAATTGGGAAATAAATTCAAAATAATAAAAAACAATAAGTAAATAATTGAAACATCCTAAAAATCATCAAACCTAGACACACTGTGGGTTTTTTTTTTTTATGGCTTCAAAACATCAACAGTTACTACCTCTGTGAAGTTGCTTGTTTCTTTTCCAAACTAATCCTCTTAATTAAGACCTTCCCCCTTCAAGATTCAACTCAATTTCCATTTTTTTTTTTTTATTAAAGCTGTCCCTGAAAGCCAGTGTATACTTAATCATCCATACTCTTATTATCTTCTACTGATAACTCCTAGGGGGATTCTAAAAACGATCATCCATTCAGCAAATTTAACTGTGAATCTGTGAACGGATTATTATGAAGTATTTACCAAAAAAGAAAAATTTCCTACAAGTAACTAAGAGAGAAAGAAAAAAGGACAAGGTGACACTCTAAATGAGGAACTGCAAATTAAAACAATGATATACCATTTCAGACCTATTAGATATGCAGAACTTAAGAATGCCAAATATTGGTTAGAAACTCTGATGTACTTTCAGAATTTATTCATTTCATAACCGGTCAAAGAGTACAAACTTTCATTTATAATATGATATATTTTTTATCAAATCACTTCAAATCAACTAACCTTGAATTTTGGTTAGGTAGCCACACTATTACTACTTTTTAAATATTTATATGTCCTTTGTTCTGCTTTCACCCCTTTTTTAATAGATTAAGTCCTGTATTTATTTATTAAAATTATAAAATCTTATATAACTTTGATATTACAGTAAGTCTACCACTAGCTTAAGTAGTACTTTTATCTGTACTTATGGAAATAGCCTCACTTTATTTTTTGCATATGAATTTATTCCCTAAGTGTTTATTATTTTCTTAGAAAAGAAATGTCTTGTGTTTCAGGCTATATTAATCATCAGTTATTTAACAGATTTTTAGCTGCTAATATAAAAATGTCTTTTTCTTTTTTAAAAAAAAGTTTATTTATTTATTTTAGAGAGAGAGAGAGAGAGTACAGGTGTGAGCAAGCAGGAGGAGGAGCAGAGGGGAAGGGAAAGAGAATCTGAAGCAGACTCTGCACTGAGAACAGAGCCCCACATAGGTGTGGGCTCGATCCCACGACCACAAGATCATGACCTGAGCCAAAACCAAGAGTTGGATGCTTAACCCACTGAGCCACCCAGGCACCCCTAAAAAAATGTCTTTTTGATTTTGTGTTTTTCAGTTTTTCTTGTTCAAATATTATAACATGGACTTTAAAAAAATTTATTATTATTTTATTATTATGTTAATCACCATACATCATTAGTTTTTAATGTAGTGTTCCATGACTCATTGTTTGTGTATAATACCCAGTGCTCCATGCAGAACGTGCCCTCTTTAATACCCATCACCAGGCTAACCCATTCCCACCCCCCTCCCCTCTAGAACCCTCAGTTTGTTTCTCAGAGTCCATAGTCTCTCATGGTTAGTCTCGCCCTCTGATTTCCACCCCCCCTTCATTCTTCCCTTCCTGCTATCTTCATGTTAAGAAGATAACATGGACTTTTGAGGACAAAAATTAGGTCCTTTAATAGATCCAAGTACATTTCTACCTCTTTTTACTCTTATTTAATTAAACTTAATGCTATAACAATTTTATAAATTATCTTAAATAAATAAACAAATTCACTTTCTATTCTTTCCCTGTATTATACTTGTTTTGAGTTTCTTCTGAAATTACTATTTCCAGTATTTCTACTATTTCCAGTGTTTGGAGTGATTATAAGAATATTCTTTTCTTGTTTTAAGGAGAATTCTACACAAATAAATAAGTGATTTCATGTTTTTTGTCTTGTTTAAATTCCAATTAGTTAACATACAGTGTAATATTAGTTTCAGGTGTGCAATTTACTGATTCAACACTTACATACAACAACATATACTCTATCTTATTAATAGAGACATTCCAAGTTGTTGACTATATTAGTAAGAATAGTTAACATTTTTATAGGCTTATTATTTACCAATTTTAAACGCTTGACAT